TCCACAATTAGCAAGATAAAATAAACAAAGTAATGTAAACATGCCACTAAAAATTACACCACATTGAAACCAAGAATTGAACAAAATAAACATACTAGAGAAAAATACACATTCCAGAGAAAATTACACATTCTTGAGGAAATTTCCATTCCAAAGAAAATTTTAATTCATAATATTAAAATGCCAGAGAAATTTACATACACAACCAGAGAAAATTAACCATGATAGAGACACACAAGGGAGGAAAGTGGTGTGATGTGGTCAGAGAAAATTATAAATACCAGAGAAACTTAGACAAGCAAGAGAGTAATAGACATTCTAGAGAAAAATACGTATTCCAGAGAAATTTACAAACTAGAGAAATTCATAGACAAAATCACAGAAACATGTTTAAGAATAAGATCAAAAGACAGAGAAATAACTTTTTCTCAAAATACACATGGCAGAGAAAATTCAAAGAAGAAACATTCATTCCAGTCCATAATATTAAAATTCTAAAGAAAATTAAAAATGATAGAGACACACAAGGGAGGAAAGTGATGTGATGTAGTCAGAGAAAATTATAAATACTAGAGAAACTTAGACAGAGGCAAGAGAGTAATAGATATTCCAGAGAAAGATAGACATTCCAATTAAATATACATATTACAGAGAAATTTACAGAGCAGGGAAATTTATAGACAAAATTACAAAAATATGTTCAAGAATAAGATAAAAACACAGAAAATTATTTTTTTGAAAATAAACATGCCAGAGAAAATTGAAAGAAGAAACATACATCAAGCAAAAATCAGAGAAATTCAAATGCCAGAGAAATTTACAGATAAAATCATACAAATATGTTTAAAAATAAGTTCAAAACACACAGAAATAACTTTTTCCAAATTCATGTAGCTTTTTATTACGAAATTGAAACTCTAATTTATGGAAGGTTAATATAAAATGCTATTAACTGTGTTTCCAGAGAAAATCTAGTTGTATTGTAGAAAAACTGACCAGAGTTAGGATGAAACTTGAATGACGAACTGATATGGCCTGAGATGAAGATGTGACGTGACGAAGATGGACTGAGATGACCATGAGCAGTGAAAACGAAGCTTTAACGAAGGTCAGAGAAATTTGTGAGGAAGGAATGGGAATGATTTTTGCAGAAGATAACGAAGCTCTAATGTCGATGGTGAAGATCATGTTGAAACCCTAATTCTGCTGTTCTCCTGTTCGTGAAGATGCTGGATGCTTGGAATGGAACTCAGGCATCGGAATGAGTTTCGTTTCTGTGTTGATTTTGGCAAGGGTATTTTAGTCCACAAAATAATTATAATTATTTTTTTGGGTATCCTTTATCCTCTAAATTATTATTATTATGGACCTTAAAAAAAATTTCCCTTTTTTTAGTTGATTTTATAATTGTAAAAATAATAATAATTATAAATTAGATGTGATATTTTATTTTATTAATTATAATTATTTTATTTTATTTTATTTTTATTGGTTAATTTAATCCGAACCTTTTCAAGCAGGGCCATTAACCCGAAATGTAAGACGAAAGATGCCAAACTTGGCCTAATATGGTGATTGACCATTGGGGATGATCAGTTGGTCGCACCTGTATCCAATGAGACACGGGTGTTTGCTTTGGTCCAAATAACAGTGATCTTTATAAAACAATGCTTCGCCCAAGTGAAAATAGTATTAAATATAGATTTAATTAGTAATTTTTAATATAAAAAGTGAAATCAAACCTTAAATCAAAATTTGCAACATATAAACAAATGTAAGTTGTGTTACACCGTCTCTTTAAATTTTAAAACACCTCAATACTACTACTAGTTAGGGGGTCAGTGGTATTGAAAATTTATTTGTGTGGTTTAAAATGCAATATTGCGAATGTAGTATTGACAAATGAGAAACTGTAACAGATTAATATATTTTGTTTCACTCTAATGAAATAATTATTCATTTGTCTCCCAATTACTTAATAATAGTTAGTATATCCAATCATTAAATTTTATAAATAATGTGGTATAATACCGTGTAAAATTCACTTGGTGAAGATTTCTTGGCAGCTTTGCATGATTGTTTGTATTGCTTAGTAGCTGGTAACATTGTATAATTTTTGGTCAATGAAATAACTAATAATTAGGGGAGACGATATGCTTGAGAAATAACAATGAAAATGCTTCATTTTTATTTTTTTTTTGGAGTTTGATCCTCTTTTTTCTTTTTGCAGGGTGATTTTGAACCTTTTTTTTAAATTTTTTTTTTTTGTTTATCTTTATAATTTACAAATTATCTTCATCAACGCATTGAGGTCTTATGATTTCTGACACCACTTGTGGTTTGTGGTTCAGTCGAAGCATCTTTTTTCTTTTGATACAGAAAAATGAATATGCAGGCACTTACGTCGAGGTCGAAACTTAGTCCCCCTCGTGCTCCACGCGCTAAGGAATATGTTTAACCCCAACAAAGGGCTATGGAGACTCGAACCCAAGCCTTAAGCGAGGGATTCGAAAGTTTTATTCACTGAACCAACCCCTGTTGGTAGTCGAAGCATCTTTTGGTTGGAAGGACTAGTATGCCCAATATTTAGGTTAATCATGAAATTTTATACTAGGTTGTATATTGGAATTGACTTAGGTGCAAAGTAGTCGAGACTTTATCATTAAAGTTTTCATGAATAATTCTATAGAAGTTAATATGGTTATTTAAAAATTTATTAAAAATTCAAAATGTCAAATATGATTGATTGTTTGTAGATTGGATTGGTTTAGGTTTAGGTTTAGGGTAAATTAGAAATCAAATTAGTTTTCACAGTATTAAAAAAATGAAATTGTAATCAAACTAATTACATTAAAATTGAAATCGTACTTAATGAATCATAAAAAGTAAAGATGCGTATAATTCAAATTATTAAAATCAATTTTAAAATTAACTTATTAAATTTAAATAACCTCTCAAATTGAGAGAAATCAAATCCTTATATAACATTGTTCAGATTGGTGCCAAAAATCATTATAGGTAGAAGTGGTACACACGTGTCAAGATCACGTCACTTTCATGCTGTATTCGATTTGTTCCAATCCCTTGAAAATGAGGAATTATTTTGTCCGTTTGGAAATTTAGTTAGGTTGTGTTCACAATAAATTAGCAGTTGTTTTATGCAAATATATAAGAAAAAAAAAAATCAATAAAAAGGATATGTGGCAGATCTAATTTTTCCATAAAAACAGGTCAAAAGTTCTTTATCCACCACCAACTATTACAGTAGTGATCAAAGGTCACCTTTTTTTTTTTTCTCCTTTTTATTTAAAATTTTTTATACAAATTAATAAATTTTATTAATTTTTTATTAATTAGTGTAAATTATAAATACATTTCTTGATATTTACTTAAAATAAAATTTGTCCCCTATGATTTTAGAAATGAGTAATGGAAGTGACTCTAAAAATTTTATCAAAATTTTTACTAAATGTTTTACATAGGTGTGAGACCTACACAATATAGGTTCTATGTGAGTCTCACACCTATGTGAGACATTTGATAGAATTTTTGATAAAAATTTTAAGATCCCTGACATTTTTATTTAAAAATTGCATTTTGCCTCCTGAATTTCTAATTTCAAATGATCCTCCATTAATTAATCAATAAGTCAATTAACAGTTTTTAATGATATTAGATATTTATTTTAATTAATAATTTAAGTGATTATATCATTGTATAATGGAGCAGTTATAAATTTTATTTTTTTAGTTAATTCTGTTAAATAAAAAATTTTGACAATGAACTATTTACAAATTTTCATATCACAGAAGTAATCTATATTTTAAGCAATTTTAAGCGATAGATTTATAAATTATCCTATTAATTAATATATTATGTAATGTAATATTAAAATTTTAAAATTTAAAACAAAATTCCCTTTAAAGATATATTACCTGCCATTACATCAATAATATATTTTATTTTTTATATATATATATTTTTAATTTTTATAACATTACACTCTTTATTTTTACTCGCTATGTTGCCAACGAGTGTAGGCCACAACCACTACTTTATCTTACCCTAATTTCTCAACTTTCTTAAATGATTGCTTTCCACAGAGAAAGTGACCAAATTGCCCTTTGCATTGATTTAACACACAGGAAAATGCTATTGCAGCCAGTTTAGGTGTTTAATAAATGTGAATTAGGCTGGGTTTTGGTCCCCAACACCCCTTCTCTCCCAAAAGGAACTAATATAATGTGACGGTCTACAGTTGTAATGCGATAAACAGATACTATAGATTTAAAAAATTTATTCTAAAATTTCAATACATGGTCTAAATTCATTCTATGAATGGATCCCAACCACTCTTTGATCCGGGTAAAATTCATCAGATAAATTTTTGTAATTTTATTGTGTAATGAATGGAGAGAGTAATGCAAAATACAATAGTCATTGGTAATCTTTCAGCACACAACTTCTTATTATTGAATTCAAGTATAATTGGAATTTGACTTCTTTATTGATTTTTAAATTTTTTTTAGAAGTTAAAAAAAAATTAATGTGTTTTCAAAGTTACAGAAAAAAATATATTTTGAGTAAAAAATTAATATGACATTTAACTTTTATAGTTAATGATAAATAAGATTTTTAATTTTTTTTAAACATTGACTTACTTAGCTTATCTCAAACACCTCCTCAATATGAGATTAGGAATTGCAGAATAGGTACCTAACTTAACTCATCTTCATCATAAATATGAAACATAATATCAGTTTCAACCACCCTTTTTACACATCCTCATTGGTCAACCATTTATTTTATGGGTTCTCATTGGTTATGTGAATAATTTTTCCACAAAGTACACATAGCATTAAGTTGGATTTCAAAGAAGAGTGGGGGACAATTTAATAATTTTACAATGAGATGTACTTATTTGGAAATTTCTAGAAGTGGCCTAAGTTAGTGATGAAAATGAAATTATATATTTTATGTAACTATAGTTGGAAGGCGGTGGTAGTGGTGGTGCAAATCATGAGTGGGTGCTATCTTTCTTTGTGTTTTTGGGTAATTTTCTCTCTCATCCAAACAGGTGCACCAGGGGGCTGTGTTAGTAATGTCACGGGTGCATGTCCTCCTTCATGTCCACACCAAAACCAACCACCCAATAAATATCACATCATTAAACCATCCATGCATTATATATAGCCTCACTTGCGAAAATTCACAAGTTAGCTTTCTCATTACAAATCACAAAAAGAAAAGAAAAAAATGCTACCCAACATCATGTATTTCACTCTCATCCTTTTCTTCTTGCTAGCCAGCCTTTCATGGGCATACAACTCCGGTGCCGGTGGTGACGGTGGTGGTGGTGGTGGTGGTGGTGAAGGGGGTGGAGGAAAGATGGAGTCATCACCGGAGGTGGCTTTGGGTCCAAGTGGCGCGACCGGGGTGCCAAGGGGGGAGAGCGGGTCGGGTCATGGTCCGAATTGGGACTATAGTTGGGGTTGGGGTTCAAGCCCGGGATCGGGATGGGGTTATGGATCAGGGTCAGGAAGGTCACCAAATGGGTTTGGCAAGGGTTTTGGGTATGGTTTTGGTTCCGGATCTGGGTCGGGCTCTGGGTTTGGATATGGGACAGGAGGTGGAGAAGCTAATGGAGGCGGATACGGATCCGGAACGGGTTCGGGTGGTGATGGAGGTGGCAGCGGTAGCGGAAGTGGCGGTCCTGGTGGATATGGAAACCGATCACCGCCGTCAATCTCTAATGACAGGAACAAAAACGGGTAAAGAAACCGCGTTTGGAGTTTTGTGTTCTTGGCATGTCCTTTTTGGAGAAAATGATGATCTAACCATATATAATACATGTAGTAGTAATATGGTATGTTAGCAATATAATTATGTCTTTGTTACATACATATATACTATATGTCCATCTAGTACCATTACTTCAATGAACAATATAGAGGGTTCTATTATGTTAACTGCAAATCCTGTGTGTGCAGCCAGGCTTCATGTGCTATTAATCTTTGCTCTTGTTTGGTGTAGTTTATGAGTGCGATTTATAATTTTGCAACTTTTTTTTAAAAAAAAAATACATGTCAAAATGTTTGGGGTATGTTTTATTTAGGGCAAATTGCTTCTATATATTGCTCAACGTGTCATTTTGGTCATTACATTATTAATTGATTCAAATTTAACTCTTAACTTTAAATTTTATTTTAATTTGATCTAATTAATAATACCGTTAATGTTTTGGACAAAATATTATTATTGAATTAATTGAGATTAGCTGATAGAAGTAAGTTGATTATTTTGCTCTTAAGAAAAGGGTGAAACACCAATAAATATCAAAATGTGATTTTGTAGATTATTTAGTCATTCGGTTTTTTTTTTAAAATTTATTTTTTATTTTTTATGAACCCAAAAGTCCCATTAAAGTAGAAATTACACAAAATGATAGTTACTTACATGTTTTGGTTTAATTTTTTAGAGATAAAAGTAGGTTTTTCAAAATGTAAAATTATATATTTAGACAATCCGCACTATAGAAGTTTTGGATTTTTCTCATTATAGAACAAATCTCACATTACAAATAAAAACGTAACACTCTAATATAACACTTCAATAATGTAACACTTTAATGTAATATACTAACAAACTTCTTTATGTACTTTTTCCAAACATAATAACGTAACACTAAAAAAAAATTCATTGGTATACTTTTTCCTAACGTAATGTTCCAATGCAACCAAAAAAAAAAAAACTCCTTAGTATACTTTTTCCAAACATAGCATTCCAATCAATGTAATTCTAAACGTAACACTCTAATGTAACATACTCCAATGTAACACACAAAAACACTAAAAAACAAACTCCTTAACGTATATTTTTTCAAACGTAATACTCACAGTTTAAAATTATACATTTGTCCAAAACTCATTAACAAATATTTGTATTCCTTTTGGAATAGTTTGACGGATCCCACATTCTCTTTTTTTTAGTGTTACGTAGGAGTGTTACGTTTAAAGGTATACTAAGGATTTTTTTTAGTATAGTAAGTTAAAGTATTACTCTAAGGAGTTTTTTTGGAGTGTTATTTTGAAGTGTTACGTTTACGTTTGAGAATAGTACACTAAGTGTAACACTCATAATTTGAAATTATACATTTATCAAAAACTTATTAAGTAATATTTGTACTCTTTTTGGAATGGTTTGAAGAATCTCACAATTTTTTTTTAGTGTTACATTAAAATGTTATGTTTGGAAAAAGTACACTAAAGATTTTTTCAATATATTACATTAGAGTGTTACACTAAGGAATTTTTTTTGTGTGTTACATTAGAGTGTTATATTAAGAATTTTTTGTGTGTGCTAAATTAGAGTGCTACACTAAGGAGTTTTTTTAGAGTATTATATTAAAGTGTTACATTTGGAAAAAGTACACTAAGATTTTTTTTTTTTTTGGTGTTATATTAGAGTGTTATACTAAGAAATTCTTTTGTGTTATATTAGAATGTTACACTAAAGAATTTTTTTTGAAGTGTTATATTTGAAAAAAGTACAGTAAGAAATTTTTGTATGTGTTACATTAGAATGTTGCACTAAGTTTTTTTTTTAAATATATATATATATATATATATATATATTTTTAGTGTTACATTGGAATATTACGTTTGATTGTTACATTGGAGTATTACAGTTTAAAATTATACATTTGGCCAAAACTTATTACGTAGTTTTTGTACTCTTTTTAAAATGTTTGAAAAATTCCACATCCTTTTAGAATGTTTGATGAATTCCATATTTTAAGTCATTTTTTTGAAATTTTTTCCAAATAAAAAGGAATTTTTATATAAAAATTCATCCCAAATTTGATTCACATACATTGTGTACCTTACCTTTCTAGCACAAAAGAAAAAAAGAAAAGGAAACATAATAGAAATAAGGGTATAACTGTAAATCTAATTTTTAAATAATATATTAAATATACCTTTCCAAAATCGATGGGAATAATTAGTTTTAAAAAAAAATCCTTGAGACTTAATGGATCACCGTTCTTCAAGATAGGATTTATAGGTAAATTTTCCTTAAAAATATTACAAATGTCACTTGTGTACGTATTTTTCATTAAAAAATTATAAGAGTAATAATCAATTGGACCAAATTAAGATAAAGTCATAAATTCAATAAAGAAAATTTCATTTTTACTTTTATACTTTGCCTCGATGATCAATTACACCCCCAGAATTCGAATAATTTCACTTTTACCTCCAAAGTTTTTGAAATCGTATCAATTTTGTCAATGTCATCACGTTTGAAACGAAAAAAGTTAAAAAAAATTCATTTTGGTTCCAAATTTTAAAAGAAAGATGCAAACTCATCATTTCCTACACAAACTCACACTCTCTTCTCTTCCTCTAATTCTTTTCTCTCTCCTCTGCCTTTGTAAGCGCTGTCACCACTACCAACCACCACCGCAATCACTCAATTCTCCAACCCAACTTCTCTGAAACACAAATTCACTCACTCATGTAAAACTTTTATGGTGTTATGCATATAACAATCTTCATAATCCAAAATCGTGAACTATCATGATTTTCACAAATAATAACATAATGCGGAATAAATAATATACCTAAATCAATTATGCGAAATGTTCGAGTGACCCAAAATTGATTGAATACAAACCTAATAATAATATTAGTGGAAAAAGGTTTCTCTCTTGACCCTCTTTAGAATACATTATATTCAGAATAATTGATGGGTGATACAAATATACTTTTATAAATAGAGAGAGGACCAGTTTTCTAATATAACTATAACTCCACTTGTCTATCAAATAGGAGATTTGAAAACTATTCCATCTATTAACCAATCAGATAATAATTTGTGATTCAAGATATGAAACTATAATCTTATTAAATCTATAATTCATATTGTCATATCATGTGAATTATCATAATAACTAAATAGTTAAATTTAGTCATACAACTCACTCCAATCACCAATTCAGACCAATTTCAAAAGTAAAGCTAAGATTTTGTTTTTATTTTTTTTTCTCCCCCTCAAAATAGAATAGCTTTTACAGAACAAGAATCAAAAGCAAAGAATCAAAAACTCAAAAATAAGCCATCAACTAGCATCAAAATCATATATACATTACCGGGCAAGAGTTCTAAATTGAAAATCGGATTGAATTAATCAAAAATTCAATACCTGTCATTCAACAAATTCTTGACAGCCACACGAGTATTATTAGCCAAAACACCACAATACACAATTCCATAACCACCTTCACCAATTACATTCTCATCAGACAATCCATTCGTTGCATTCTCACATTGTGGTTGGTTGGGGGATTTGGAAAGAAATTTGGAAAGGAAAAGAGAAAAGATAAGTGAAATGAGAATAAAATATACATACATTTCACCTTGTTTCACACACCTTTTCCCTTTCTATTTTCAAATCCCTCCCAAAATCTCCCAACCAAACATAACATCAATCTCCCTCAAAGAGTACCACTGTCCCCAACCAAGATGCGAAACCTCCGGCATTGCTCCATTGCCATACGCTGCCGTATCGGTTGCCCTGCTCTCACCTCTCGAAACCCTATCGGAGAACACGACTCCGTGCTCCACATTCCCTATGTCAATTTGGATGTCCGAAACCAAGATTGGGCGGTGATCGGGTGTGGATTCGTGGACGATCTCCTAGATTTCCTTCAGGACCACAGGTGAGAGCTCTCTAGTAGTGAAAAACTTGGGGGATTTGCGTAGAACTTGCAAAATCATCCACTGAGTTTGGTGTGACAATTCCAAAGAAAGTGGTGATGAAAATTTGGAGTGAGTAAGTAAGTTTGGGTTTGAGACAAGTTGAGTTGGAGAATTAGATGATTGCAGTGTTGGTTGGTGGTGATGGTGGCAGCGCTTACAAGAGTGGAGGAGAGAGGGAAGAATTGGAGGAAGAGAAGAGAGGGTGAGTTTGGGTAGGAGATGGTGGATTTGCATCTTTCTTTTGAAATTTGAGGCCAAAATGTAATTTTTTAAACTTTTTTCATTTCAAATTTGATGACAGGGGCAAAATTGATACGATTTCAAAAATTTTGGGAGAAATTGAAATAATTTAAAGTCTGGAGTGTAATTGATCATCGAGGAAAAGTATAGGGGTAAAAATGAAATTTTCTCAATTCAATATCAAAATTTAGTCAATCAAAATTACAATGACTAAGATGACAAAAGAAACAAAGTACAGAAACTATCGTTATAATTGGCCCTTCTATTTATTATTAAGCCATCATATAGAACTCATTCCCATGTTGTAATGTTGTTTCACAAGTTAGATGGTCATGAAAAGAAAAGATAAAGTAATGGCTATATATGAGGCTGAAAATGCTGATAGATTTAGAGTCGGTCACCGTGCGTGACTAAGAAAATTTGATGGTTCTGTGTAGAGGTGAAATCGATGCGGTTCGGCCGGTTTTTTCGTAGTTTTTAAATCGAACCGAAAATTTCAATTTTAATTTTTTTAAAAATCGAACAGACCGAAAGGTACCTACAAACCGAACCAAACCATTTTATTTGGTTTCGGTGCGGTGTGGTGCGGTGCTACGGTTTTGGGCCTTACATTTTAGGCTTACTTTTTACAAAAATGAATTTGGGCCTTGGAAACTAAAGTCCAACAACACCTAAGCATAATTTTTAAATATGCTTTATCAAATTAAATTGGGCTTTATTTATCAAAAATACATATATATATATATATATATATATGAATTGGGCTTTGAAATCCTTATCCAGAAAGAGCTAAAAAATTAAAAAAATAAAAATGCATCACACATATCCAACAAACCAAACATATCCAAAAACCTATCCAAAATTTTTTTGTTGAAACAAACATATTCAACAAACCTATACAAACCTATCCAACAAGCATCAAACATATCCAACAAACCAAACATACCAAAATTTATTAAAATATATCCAGCTCCA